TAAAGAAATAAATACTACATATTTATTTCTCTCTGTGTACCTCTGCCAGTGAAAATAATAAAACTTCTTTTTTAAAAACTTCTGTCACAGCAGTTGTATAAATCACACAGGTCTGGGTATCCCTGCTTAAAACATAGAAAACTGAGTTCACTTATCCCTTTTGCTTTGAATTACATTATTAAATTATTTTCAAATGTTTTCTCTGTGGAATCACTGCATTGTTTTCCTCATACACCTGCTGTGGTAGCCTCACAGATGTGGGTCACACTGCCACCTGGTGTGGCTGGGACAAATTTCCTTCCATTCTGTGGAAGCTACCAGAATAGGGAGGATACTCAGAATCTGCATTGCTGAGTCATGCCCAAAACTGAATTTCTTCCTGAAGGAATTTTCAGGCCTACAAAAAATGAGACGAAAGGTTTGGATTAACAACAAACACAAATCATCTTATAGAAGGGAAAGCCATAAATATTCAATACTTTTAGTTCAGCAAATGTTTATTTAGGGTCCACTGTACTTAAGTTCTATGTTTGGTCCCATAGATGACACAAAAATTAGGAATCCTGCCCCAGAGAATTTATCAATATATGGCAGAATCCAATATTAGCAAAGCATGCAAGAGGGAGGAAGAGCTCACAGGAAATATGAAAACAAAAAACAAAAACAGATGTCTTAAATGTGTGATATCTGGGATAGCCCTTGTAGAAAATTTGGGATTATATGGGCAGAGATAGGAAATAAAAGAGGAAGAGCAAAAATATATGCCAAAAACAATAAAATAATTAAAATCTAGTTTATTAAAGGCTTATTTTATATTTATTATGTTATCATTAACAAAGTATACAATAGAAAATGTAGTTTTCATAGTTATCTCAGTTAAGGATTTTATAATTAGAAGAGTGAAAGATATGAGCAACAGTGACAATTAAATTTTGCTTTGCCTGAAAAGTAATTCCTAAATAATCATGTTGGGTAGCAACACCACCATTAAGTTTTCTTCAAATATCTTTTGCCTCAGGAAATAAAAATAGACAACTGAAATATACAGATTTTTCACAACTTTATTAGGACAGGATTACTTATAATTTAAAATAATTGAGATAATATATTCATATTATGTCATATATTCACTGGTCAAAAATTAATAACTTCACTTTCAATACTTCCTTTTAAAGTTTTCTTTTTAAAACTTGAGTAATCTAAATGACTAGATTCTTAGAAGTTCAGCAACTCAACATCATTCCCACATTAGTTCTCATGGTAAAATTCTTCTACACTGTACATGTTTCTGTCAACATCTTCGGTTATAATTTCAACTACTAGAATTAAAGTTTAGACAGGACTATCACAGTGTTTTGCAATCTTGAATTTAAATTTTGATTTTACAGAAAGGTATGTTCTTAGTATATATTTTTCTTACTATTCAGAGGTATTTGCATAAATTCTATATATGTCCAGTTCATGCAAGTAAATCAATGACTTTTGACTTTTCACTAAAAGTCCATTTTTTTTTTAAGATTTATTTATTTATTTACACAAGCACTGGGTACAGTCAGAAGCGTGGGAGGGTGAGAGAATTCACCAGGGCCAGAGCGGGGAGCAGAACAGACAGATTGACGCAAGGCACTGCTGAGGGGAGCAGTGGGCGTGGCAGGAGAGGTCTGCGCGCCATGTGGGACCCTCGCTGGCTGGCCTTGGATAGAATCTATCATTATTATTTCTAATTAGGAGTTTTTAGGGAGCCTAAACTTGACAATTGACTGTATCAAATGACAACCCATTAAAAGTCTCATAATGGTATTATAGTCTTCAAACACATATGCAATAATCGAGGCAAAATAATTTATCTAAGTTAAATAACAACCAATAAAAATGTTTTTTATATATAAAATTATATCAATCTATAACTTTTAAAAGCTTAAAAACAGCTTCATTTTTTATACTAACAGAATCTATATACTTTAAAAGTATATAGAACTTGGGCATCCCCCGGTGGCACAGTGGTTGAGTACTGGGTTGCGAGGCTGCCCTCAGCCTCTGCAGCACCAGTTCAATCCTCGGCCACTGGCGAGGGTCCCACCAAAAAAAAAAAAAAAAAAAGTATATAGAGCTTGCTTTATAAAGATTAAGACTATGTATCGTATATATCCTAATGAATAAAGATGACAGTCAAGGAGAATTGCAAAATCTCATTTTTTTAATGTTTTTTCTCTTCTAACATAGTTCTAGAGTGTAACTAAACTTTAATTGATCTGGCTTGCTTTTTTTCTTATTAGTAAAAATTCTAAAGGGCAAATAACATTCCTGCCAAAATTCTTATACCTTAGAAATAAATATACAATATAACATTATAAAATGTAATAATGGTTAATTATTATCACAACAATTATTATCACAACTTCTCTATTTTTAAAAAAAATGTGTTTATTTATGCATACAAGAGCTGGGGTACAGGCCAGAAATGTGGGGGTGGGGGAGTTGGTGGTGAGAGGATTCACCAGAGACAGAGTGGGGAACAGAACAGGAAATTGACCGAAGTACACTGCAGAGGGGAGCAGCGGGTGAGTCAGGAGAGGTCTGCTGCACCATGAGGGTTGCTCCTTGGCTGGCCAGAGATCGAACTCGTGCTGCAGAGGCTGCGGATGCTGCAGAGGCTGCGGATTGCTTCACAGTGCGCTGCTTAACCCCTTGCGCCACCAGGAGGCCACAACTTCCCTATTTTATCAAACTCAATTTTTATTATGAATGCATGTTTCTGGTAACCTGGTTTAATGATAAACCCTCCTCCCTCCCCTTCTGGTAGCTTCAGTTATGCAGTCAGATTTCTAGGGTTTGTTTTAGTTTGTTTTATCTGTTTCTTTGTTTTGCTTCTCTATATTCCACATGAATTAAATGAGCCAATTTTTTTTTTTTACCTGATTACATATTTCACTTACCATAATCCTCTCCAGGGCCATCCATATTGTGCAAATGATAAGATTTCACCTTTTTATTATAGATGAGTAGTGTTCCATCGTGTATATATACATCACATCTCCCTAATCCATTCACCATTGGATACTTCGGTTGTTTCCACAACTTAGTTATTGTAAATGATACTGCAGTAAACACAGAAAAGCCTTTTTCTCTTCAACTTAGAATTTTGCATTCTTTGGGTAGATACCTATGAATGGAATTGTGGATCATATAGTAGATTTAGTTCCAGTGTTTTGAGAAATTTCCACATTGTTTTCCATAGAAGCTGGACTGGTGTACATTCCCACCAATGGTGTAGGAGTATTCCTTTTTCTCCACATATTTGCTTCCCCAATATTTGTTGTTCCTGGACTTTTTGATATGGGCCATTCTCACAGGTGTGAGGTGGTAGCTCATTGTAGTTTTGATTTTCATTTCCCTCATCATAAGTGATGATAACTGTTGATGTGCCTGTTTCCATCTGTAAGTCTTCTTTGGAGAAGTGTCTATTTAGTTCTCCTGCCCATTTTTTGATTAGGTTACTTATTTTCTTTTTACTGAGTTGTATGAGTTCATTTTAGAACTTGGATATTAATATCTTTTCAGATATATGTCATGCAAATATTAATATTTTCTCCCATTTAGTAGGTGTGTTTTCATTTAATGATAGTTTCTTTTGCTATGCAGAAGCATTTTCTCTTGATATGGTTCTATTTATTTATTTTTGCTTTTGTTTCCATTGCTGTTAGAGTGGAGTTATTACCAAAGATATCTGCGATGCCAATATTATGGGTGTTTTGCCTGTTTTCTTGAATGTATTTTATGGTTTCAGTTCTTTATTCCATTTTGAGTTAATTTTTGCATATGGTAAAAGACAGTCATTTAGTGATAGTTTCACTCTTTTGCATATGGCTGTCTGGTTTTCCCAATAAAATTGATTGAAAAGACTTTCCTTTCTCTATTGTATATTCTCTGTTCCTTTCTCATAAATTAACTGCTTATGTATATGTGGGCTCATTTCTGTTCTTAGCTCTATTCCATTGATCTGTGTGTCTATTTTTATTCCAACACTATATGGTTTTATTATTGCTTTGTAATATAAAATATGAGCATGTACCTCATTCTTCATCTTTCTTGTCAAGACTGCTGTGTCTATTCAGGGTCTTTTGTGGTTCCATACAAATTTCAGTAGTGTTTGTTCTGTTTCATTGAAGAATGCCATTGAAACTTAGATAAGGATTGCATTGAATCTGTATATTGCTTTGGGTAAAATGGCCATTTTCACAATGCTAATTCTTCTAACTCATGAGCAGGGAATAGCTTTTCATTGTATCTTTTTCTATTTCTTTTAACAATGCCTTATAGTTTTCATTATACATGTCTCTTTCCTCTATTTTTAAGTTTATTTTTAGATATTTGATTCTTTTTGATGTGAATGTAAATAGTAATGTTTTCTTATTTTCTTTCTCTTTCTTTCTGGGTTTTTGCAAAGAAATTGAAAGAGTTAAAAAAAAAAAACTCCAAAAACAAAAGCTCAGAACCAGATATTTTTTACTATTGAGTCAATGCAATGCATATCTCAACAGGATAGCCAAAAATTATATGATCATATTAACAGATGCTGAGAAATCATTTGACAAGATTCAATATCCACTGATGATAAAAGCCTCAGAAAAATGGGGATAGAAGGAACATACTTCAATATAATAAAGGCCATATGTCACAGTAGAAACGTATTTTAATTGTGGCAAACTTCACATAACATACAGTTTACCATTTCAACCATTTTTAAGTCTACAGAAAACATATTTCTTATAAAACAGTGTAAGGGGGATGTCCTGTTCTTTCCACCCTGTATTCTGACATTCCTTGAGGTCTTAGAGCTGGCTGCAGGGGAAAGAAAGAAGTTAAAAAGTGCACTCCCCTTTTTAAACTCCTTGATCTGGAAATTATATCAGTTCTGTTCAAACTGAGGTAAACTAGTTCATTACCCAATGAATGCAGAGAGGAAGTGGGAGGGATAGCTCAGAATTGTTTTTAAATACCTGGGCAGTTACTTCTTGGCACTATATTCTACGTGATAGAATTCTTGCAGACAGCTAGCCATACTGCCAAAAGCACCTTCACTAAATTCTCTCCAGTCACAGGCAACACCAGGAAGTACTACTTTGGAACCTAGGTAAAACACACAAGACAAAAGACTTGAAAAGTTCCTGCCAACTTAAGTAGAGAACTTATTTGTGCCATGAAGTTTTCATGAAGGCCATAAATGTCAACATTTTACAAAAATTACTCAGTAACTTGTGTGAGATTAGCAGACACAAAGACTCACAAGGTGCTAAGGTCATGGCAGACCTAGGTAATATCTTAAAGTAGGAAACATAGATTGGTTTCACACTAATGTCTTGTCTACTTCTCTCATCAATTCACTAGGTATTCAACATGTTTGCATTATCCTCCTCTGAGTAAACAGCATATTCCCACTATCACTATGTCACTCTTTCGTTAGTATTTAAGATAAACACACAATAAAAATCTTTTTTTCAGTTTATTTCTCTTCTTTATTAAATCCACCAACTTTGTAACAATATTGTTTTCTATTTTTTAAAATGCTTATGAACAAATTTCAGTCCTATTATGGGTCCACAATTGAGCTGACCTTGGAGTTATGTTTTCATTTTCCTGTAGAAAAACACATTGCAACTTAGAAGCAATACATTTTAACTGACTGTTGGAACGCGTTCATAGATAGAAGAATAATTGATTGGCATGTGCCCTCACACACAAACTGAAATGGTGCTATCAAGGAGATGAAACAAGGAGATGAATCTAGTTTCTCTTCCATTAAAAATAAAAAAGAGGAAAGAAGAAAAAAGAAGGACTGAGGAAGAAGGGAGCAAAGACCCATAATTTAGAATTTCATATGCTCTTATTTTGAGTAGAATTACCCTGATTGGAAACCCATTCCTAGAAGTCATAGAGATCTAAGAATTCGGCATGTGTACTGTACTCAAAACATTGGTGGGACTGAGTTATATTGCTTTTGGAAAAATTAATTAATCGTGCCTCTCACAGTTAATCCTAGATTGTTTCATCAGGAGAAAGAAATGCTAAAGGTAAAGAGGTTTTTATATGGCTAGAAGATACTAATGAAGAGGTTCAAGGCTAAGTCTATAATTAGGAAGAACAGAAGGCTGATCACGAGGACTAAGAAATGCACTTCCTTCTGCAAAAAAAGGGCCAGGGAGTGCTATGTAGCAAAAGGAAACTGTGGAATCCAGGCAATCAAAATATTCTCAGCAAGATTTTACTCCACCACAAATACTTGCCTCTGCAAAGCACTGCCATGCTGCCTCATACAGAGACCACTGTGCCCAAGTGTGCCCACTACCCACTATCAAGTGTGCCCAAGATGCCCACTACCACCTAGTGCTGATTGATAATCTTTGCTCCTTTGTTCTAATTCACTTATATGTGTTCATTGACTCTATCTTTTTGGCTTTAAGTATATGGAGGATTTCCAAGCAGACTGTAATCCAGCTACAGAATTTCCATTTAGGGACATGCATTGTGAGCCATTTGCCCAAATATAATCTACCAGGTTCTTTGTAGATCTTCCTGTTGGAACTATGATTGTACCTTCAAGTCATTTTTGTGATTTAGAAGAACCACAGCATTGTTTCCTTGAGGCCAGTTTTCATAGTCCACAGGTGTGGAGCTCTTTGGAAGGCTGTGACTTTCTCACCAATAGAAATTAAATTAATATGTGAGGCACTTATAACCTGGACAAACAGTCCAGCTTGAGCTGTGACAAAGGTGAGTACATGTGAATTGGGAAAAATATGAGATGGGAAGAAAATCTGAGTCTTGCAATCTGGTTAAAAAAAAAAAAGCCAGTAGCCAGTCATGTGGCCAGCTTAAATGAATCAATAATTTAAGGATTATGATGACATTTTCTATCTAAATACAGGCCCTAGGAAGTCCCCCAAATCGCTTCCCATCTGTACCCCTATGCCTTTCCTCATATAAAAGAACTACCTTTTATATGTCAGATTTGTAACACAAAGAAATTAATTATAGTTCTCCCAAGATCTAATCTATTCCTCCACAAAAAATGAAAGTGATTTTAAAAAAACCAACCTGTTTGCTAAATCACTGTTAAAGATTCCAGGGGTTAATGGTAAAATCTAGCCCAGCAGTTTTCTAAAGCATGAAAGCATGGTCCGCAGACCCCTTCATCAGAATCACTGGAGGTGTTATTAAAATTTCATATTCCCTGGCCCTGCCCAAGACAGAAGCAACTGGGGAGGAGGAGTGGGGGGACAGGGATGTCAGAAATCTGTACTTTGAAAAAGCACTTCCAAGGGCTTTTGTTGCAAGGGACCTGAGGACTGATGACTTTTTTAAGAGTCTCTGAGATATGCAGGACCCTTGTACATATTGGCATAAATCCCATTACTTGACTCTTTTAATCGATTTTATGATTTCTTTTTGTTTCTTCCCAGTAAATGGAGAAATATACTGGAACAAAAGCTGTACATGCTTATAATCTACATATTTTCGACAAAAGGTACAGCTTTTTGAAGAGGCTCCTTACTGGGTTTTCCACTGTAACGGGCAGGTTCTCATTGCTGGTTACCTGTTGACACTGTGAACAACTTCTCCACAACACCGTGTGGGACCCGGAATCTGCGAGGCAAACAGCAGCCCGTAAGAAGTGCGTCAACTTTTTCCTCACTAGACCACCGCACACAGCAACCACAGAGAACTTCCATGGTTCTCCTTCAGATGATTCTTATGCAAGAGAACCATAAGCCTAAGCATTGCTGGGAGCCTACAGCACTTGAACACGTCCTGGCTGCCGCTAAGCAATTTGTCCCCAGAGGCTCCCTGTAGTCGGCAGTAGCAGGACGGAACTGAGCATGCGCAACAGCAGCTTTTCCCTCCCTCTCGCCCCCCCCCACGCTGGGCGGGGCTCGAGCGAGCCAGAATAGGGGGCGGGGTTTTTCTTAGGCAACCTAATTCCGGTTTCTCCCTTGGCCCTAAGCCCCGCCCCTAGCCCTCGCACCAATCAAAGGGCAGATTGCTGAAGCTCGGAGCCAATGCACTGGGCCGTTCTTCATTCCTCTCTCAGTTTGAAACTGTCAGGTTGCTGCTAAGGTAGCCGCTGCGCTCGCTGTTGTTCTAGCGGCAACGCGGCGAGGAGTCGCGCAGAAAGAAGTCCGGGTTTGTTGAGAGAGCCGCGACGGTGGGTGAAGGCGCCCCGGGGGGACCTGCGCCCCTGGCGGAGGCAGCAGAGTGGGATTTAAAGTACATGGCCCCGGGTCATTCCCGGGGTTCATACACCCCGGGGCTGGGGGCGTCGTCCCCGAGACTGGGGCTGTCTCGTTCTGCGGGACGTCAAAGGCAGGACGTTTAACCCTCCCAGGCATTCGGAAAGGAGCAGAGTGTAGGTGCCAGAATATAGCGATCACTATTGCCGCAGGCTCAGATCACGTAAAATGTAGGGGAAAAGGTAACCTAGACGAGCGCTGTTTTTAAGTAAGAACTGGTTTAAAACGGGAATGGGATGATAGGGAGGGGATTGACGAGAACTTACAGCCCTTGGCATATTCACAACTGATTTCCCCCTTTGCTTCTAGTCCCTGGTTGGGGAGGGGCTGATGCACCCCCCTCTCCTGAGCTGTAGCTAGAACTGGCGAAGGGCGCGCGGACTTGATGCAGCTGCCAGCACGCAGGTTCCTTCACTCTTCTCTGCCGCTTGGGGTCTGCGTTTGAATTTCCGAACCCTTCTTTCCCGATCAGCCAGGTAATTACCAAGGTGCAGTTTGATTTCTCTCGCGGTAGAAAAGCACTCACAACTTTATAATCTTGTGGGTTTTGATATCTTGGGTTAGAGAATACTGAGATTTAATGAACTGAACTGCCACCCATTAAAACAAGCTTCATGTTTCTCCTTTATATCAGAACTAGAAACAGGGTAATGCCACTTACTGTTGGTAGTTTCAAATAAACTTGTCTCTGCTTACTGGCCTCAAAGCAGGGCAGAAGGAATAGTTAGAGCATATTTTCCAAAAGTAGACTGGTAGTTTTGTGTCTGCAGTATCTACATTCCAAAACTATTTTTGAGATCTGACCATACTTTCCAGCTCATTTGTTTTTTAAAGGAGTCAGCAATTATTTAAATTGCTCCATCACCACCACCACCACTATTACCTAACACTCCTATTACCTGCCCGGTTTGCAGACACATCCTTAAGTGAAAACAGGAAAATAGAAATGGACCAAGTTGCCATAGAGGTGCATCTGAGGTTTATGAAGCAGCCATTCCTTACTGCAGATGTGTGTGCTTTTTTATCTTCTTTAACTGGCTTAACTAAAGATAGTCATGCTGAGATTTAGTTTACTTATCATGAGTATACACAATAATCTTATTAAATAATGTTCAAGTGTCTTTTCCACAATCTAGCACCAACCTGCTTCCTTTCTAATATTGCACTTTTTGCTGAGTTTGTCTTAAGTATATTTCATTTTCTCCATCCCTCATTTTTCAGCCCACTGTGTTTGAGATCTGTTCCATTTTCCACTGAAATTGTTCAGGCAAATGTTACAACACCTTCCTGATTGCCAAATTCAAGGGATTTTATCCAGTTCTCATCTTTCATTGGCAACTTACTGACCATTCCCTTCTAGAAGCTTTTGTGACATTTTCATTGTTCTGACTTCCCTTTTAAATGTTAGTGATTCTGGCTTTAACTTTCTCACTACAGTAGAGTTTTTCAGGTTTAGTAGAGTTTTAGTCCCCTCTGAACACATATTGGAAGCTAAGAGTCCTCTTCCCAGAAAAAAGACATGTGCATTTACGTTAAAGTACTGTATACAATGTAGGTGTGTGTTTCTCAGAATTAAGACCTTCCACTCCTTTTCATGGGTGATTTTATCCTCTCCCTTTTTTCTCAAGTTCTCATTATGTTGATGATTTCCTCAAATTATATCTCACACCTAAGCCTCCAGCGCAGGACTCCATATTGCTTAACCCCAGGAGGCACCACTCACATCATGGCCATTGTGAATGGCTGTCGTAGGAGTTGTGCGCTATATAATGTACACACACTTCATCTCAGTGCCCCACAGGTACCTCACACCCAACATTTCTTATACTGAATTCATTGTCCTTCCTCCCAACTGGTTCATCTTGCATTCCTTGCCTTAATGAGTACACGCACTATCATTGACCTAGTTACCCAAACCAGAAGTAATATTTCCACCCTTTAACCCCCTGAACCAATTATCTATCTTGATCTCCTGTTTCCACTGTCATAGCACACTCTCTCATAGTCATACCCTCCATCCCCTCCCCTATACCCTTTCCTAGATTCACATCCTCATACCTCTCCTGCATAACTAGGGGAAGGAATATTGATCTCTTGGACTACTGCAGTCAGAGACTCTTATCTTCAGTATCTCACATCCTGAAAACTGCCTGAGTGATCTTTCTAAAAGACAAACCTGATCATGTGATCACTTGTTTAAAACATTTTGATAACTCCCTAAAATAAAGACCAAACTTTTTGACATAACAGAATCATGATCTGACTGTACCTAACCTTGCACATTTCATTACTGGTCAAGCCTTGTCTGACTCTACTGATTGTGAAGTCCTTAAGGACAGGGACTTGCTTTTTAAATATTTTACTTGTTACTAAATTTACTTTTATTATAATTTTTATTCACTTATTTTTTTGGCTCTTTCAACAATTTTTCTATGCCTTTATTAAAACCTGTTGTTTTACTTTTACCAAAAGTAAGTTTCCTAGGTGGGGAATTTTGCATAAATTGTTCATTCTCTCTTGGATAAGTATCTTACAAGGAATTGCACAGCACCCAGAGTGTCACATATTATTGGAAAACAATGACACAGTCTCTTATTCTCAGCAAGTGTTATTGCAGATTTTTTTGAGGATCCTCTGTGGCTTTTTATCTTGTCATGTGTTTGTCTCCTTGATGCATTATAAACTTATCTATGTTGGGAATTGAATCTTTATCTTTTCTTGTCCAACTATTTGGCTATGGGTACTTAATATGTTAAATGATTTTAACATATCAAATGAAGATTGTTTACAGCTTAGGATATTGATGTGTGTGTGTGTGTGTGTTGCATGCACACAACATACACACACACATACTTTAAATACTAAAGACAAAAGTAAACTTCTGTTGTTTTATAGTATCTGTGAAGAATGTCATCAGATGGCGAGAGAGGCTGTCTTCCACTTGTGCAAAATGACTCAGACCAAGGCAGTACTGTGTCTTCAGATCTCCAGGTAGGAAGATAAATCTAAATTTGTAATGACATTTTTTGTTTTAAGCACATGATAACATGAGGGGAAATGAGTACTTTTTCATTCCCTGGTGTTATTTATAAAGGAGTCTTTCCAATTATATTTACATTCAACGTTGGAAATTACCTTCCCACACTTTGGGAATTAGTTTGGGAGATACTTCTTCCATTGCTTTAACCTTTCAGAAAATAATCATAATCATGAACTCTTCAATCACTTTTTATACAAACACTTCAGACAACATTGTGAAAAAAGAAGCTGAAAGCCTCAAAAAACACTTTTTCTTGGAATTTTCTCATTATTTATCCATGAATGCTACTTTCACTTTTAATGCAAATTAATACAATATTAAGGCATCCAAGGTTCTGGGACCCTTGACCCCTAGTTTTCTAAGTTCTAGTCCCTGTTGCCACAACAGTAAGCACATTCTGCTCCCCAGGACTGGACAGTGACAGACCAGTTGATGACAGAAGGTATGGTTTTTACGTGAAATGTTTTAAATTTCTTTTATTTCCAAATGTTTCATCATCAGAAGTATGGATTAAGATCTCTAGAGTAGATTTTAAATGGGACAATACAGATATGATATATCTTAAATTTTATAATAATATAAATATAAATTTAAAAACTAGATGTTTATGCCTAAGTAGAGCAAATTGTTATTAGCAGTGTATAATATGGGAAATGATTTTTGTTATGAAACAGAAGTGTTCTTTTAATTTAATTTAGAAACTCGGAAGGAATTAGAAAATCTCTGTGAATATTTACTAGGCTAAAAATAGACTAGAATTGTGACATAGATGCTTCACCCTCGCCTTCCCTTTGGACTGTACCTCTCCTACTTAGTGCTATCTTTTAGGTGATGGCACTTTCCTGCACTCTTTTCTGCCTTACCCAGCTTCCTTCAAGCGAGAACTGATATATGATTAACTCATTTATACTAAAATATAAACACCTTGTAAGGCCTCAGGTTGTCATTTCTCATTACAGAGGCAAGGCTTTACATCAGAGGAATTAAGTCTCTGGAGTAGAATTTGAGAAGAAAGGGGAACAGCTTTCTAGACATGCAAGAAATAATTTTGTGTTATTAGTTACCTGCTTAGAATGTCAACCCAACAGAGATTCTGTTTATTAGTATCCCTCAACTTATAGCTGTACTGACTCTTAAACTGTTTATATTCCAAAACAGGAAACATTTCAAAATATAAATACCAGAAATGACATTTAGGATTGAAAAAAATCTATATACTTATACATATGTAGTAAGTAGGTCAAAACAAACATTTAATACAAAAGTCTCTCATATGTCAATATTCCCCCTAAGGGAGTAGTAGAATACTACTGTCTCAGTTGTATGAATATTTCATGAATCCTTCATAAAACTGTCAGTGATAAATACTGAGGGATAGGCAACATCCAGGCTGTTATTCACTGATAATGTCCTCTAAACACAACACTCAGTTGCTCAATCTCCCCTGGTATGTATATCTGTAGTCCGGGAGCACATCAGTCCAATTGCTGGGAGTAAGGGCCCCAAT